TATGGAATGCTTAAATTAAATAAGATTTTAAGAGTTTTTATAAAATTTTTCTCCGGTAAAGGGAAAATCTAAAACCTTAATTTGTTGTTTTTGTTTTTATTTAGTGTTGCCTTATTGTTCATTAACAAGTATTTACTTTTATTGTTAAGTGTGTTACCATGTGTGAAAATTTAGCTAATAAATTGGCATCACTGTTTCATGAACCAAAGTTTTTGCAGTTAATTTAAAAAATTATGATTGTTTTAAAACGCTCATTCGGACTGATTTCAGCCATTTTCAAATGTCCTTTAGTTAGGAGAAGATTATGTTTTAAATTTCATCGAATTATCTTGAAAATCGCTATCTATAACGAGTTGTAAATGTTTGGACAGACAGCTTCAGAGAGTGATTCTGGGTTGATTGGTATTCTTATCGTGGGTGTAGGAACAGTATTTTAGGCATTACAAACTTCAGCACAAACGCATAATACCCTCCCCACTGTAGTGGTGTAGGATATAACAACCAATGAAATTAATATGGTAGGGATATTCTATAGATATGGTAATTTGATGTATTAACCAGAAGTTGTTCCCAGGGAACGGCAACAAAAACTTTAATTACAAGCGTCGTATCTGAGGTTAGTTAATCCTTATAATTTGTATTCTATTAAAAGTGGTCCGGGTATAAGAAATTACAGTTCTTGCAATTTCCTGGTGGAATGCGATTTTGACATGGACCTTCTATAAATAGTTTTAATTAAGTCAACGGTTTACATGGAGCAAGATCCAAGAAAAGTTTGCACTATAGCTTCCCTTTATGTAAAATCGTTTTTTTTTATAAGAAATCATTTCTTAGAATTGTTTCAATTCCGTAGATTTTATTCTCTATGAAATTATTAAACACATTTAGATCCAAAATAAGTTTGGCCTGTTTGCTATGAAATTTCTACAACTTAGATAATCTATAGCTTTGTAAAAACTTTTTCAATCCATAAAAAATATAATTATATTTATACCAAATCTATAAATCCATTAAACAATTTAAAAAAAATAACACATTAGATTTATTTTTTTAACGAGCTATCATTTATTTTAAACAATAAATACTCAAACTACACACTAAACTTAAGCTTTTTTGCTAAATTTACCACCGGGTGCCCGCTTAGGCGGACACCATCTCAAGTAGGCCGGATCAACGGTCAATTTTGGTCTCTTAAATTGGGGCAATTGTAAATGTTCCATAATAGTTTTCGGTGTTACGCAAATAACATGTTGACCCTTCCAGTATTTAACCATTTTCATGGACTGCAATGTGTAGATGATGTCGTCATGAGTAATGCCACTTAGTTCACTTAATTCCTTAATGCTTTGCGTAGTAGTGCGGCAATCTTTCATTAACTCCAGCAAAGTGTAGGCCCAATAGCTGCGATAAGAAAGGCGACCCAAGTCGGATAATGGTTTCTCAGGACTGCCTACAACACCCTCACGTCGTGACAATTCATAGCTAAAAGCTATTAAAAGTTTGCCATAACCTTTGCGCTGGTATGGTGGTAAAATTAAAATGCAGGCAACATTATTATTTTCCGGTGACTCTTTCTCTTTGGAAAAGTAACCCACTATATGTGCACCCTTTTTGTCAATTTCACATAAAACATAAAAATAAAACGGTTCCACATCGTAGTATAAAGTTTTGTGATCTAGAAATAGTTTTGCCATGAGACATAACATTTGGCAATACAACTTGTGATCCTTGCCATCAATCTCAAATATGGAGATAGTACCTTTACGGTAAATTTCATTGCCCGGTGGTTGTCTTTGAGTACATTCTGAGGCATGGTAACGATAGGTTTTTTGAAAACGCATATATTTCAGGCAATATTCACACACATATAAGGTGCCCACTTTGCCATATTCATCCGGATAGGGGCTAAAATACCAAGTGTCTATCTCGAATCTTCCAATGCGTAGTTTGTCTATATACTTTACTTTAGTAATGGCCTCATGTTCTTTTTCTAAAGCTGCCGTGGTGGGATCCATTTCGGCATATGTCTTTTGCACATGATTTATTTCATCATGACGTCTTTTTTGATTTCTAGTCAATTTGCGATCACTATTCTCTACGGCTGAGGGATTTTCCAATGAAGCTATCTGTTCTTTACTCAATTGTTTAATGGTTTTGGCTCCCACTGAGTCTGCCACATCTGGACCTCCTGCTGCTGCAGCTCCTCCACCTTCAGCTTCCGTGCAGTCTGTTATACGATCTCTCGACACCCATTCATCTAGACGACGATTTAGTCCTACATAATGAACATAGTATTCTTGTTGTTGAGGATTTGTTCCCTGTTCACATTCTCTTGATTGTATGATTTGTGCCGCATGAACATTACCATCCGTCCTTTTGATCATATAAACATCGCCAATGTTAATTTCCATTTCTTGATTGGGACCGGCTGTGGTGTTTACATTTGTTTTTTGCACTGGGGCTGTATTGTTTGTCGCAGCCGCTTCATTGTTGTTGCTATTTGTATTTTCTTTAGTATCGAACGCGTTGTTGCTGTCACATTTTTCTTCTTTTTTGTTGTCGCATTCCTCAGGCTCTTTCATGTGTTCATCATCATTTGTTTCACTTGTATTTTGTGTAGCTTTACTTTCGACCACCATATTTTATAATTTTAACTTAAATTTAATAAAATTTCACAATAAATATTTGTAATAAACAAAAAACTACATTCGACGCAAATTATTTTGGCTTTTCTCTGAAATGTCAAATTGTTTTTACTGTCGGTGATACCAGATGTTTAGGTAAAAACGTAAGGTAGCCAGATAATTTTTTATTATACACATAAAGAAATTTGTTGGAAATTCGTAGATTCGTTTATAACAGTGAACGTAATTTAAAGTTTTTTATTAAAAGCTTGTTTTAAAATATCTAATTAACTAACTAACTAACTAACTAACTAACTAACTAACTAACTAACTAACTAACTAACTAACTAACTAACTAACTAACTAACTAACTAACTAACTACTAACTAACTAACTAACTACTAACTAACTAACTAACTAACTAACTAACTAACTAACTAACTAACTAACTAACTAACTAACTAACTAACTAACTAACTAACTAACTAACTAACTAACTAACTAACTAACTAACTAACTAACTAACTAACTAACTAACTAACTAACTAACTAACTACTACTAACTACTAACTAACTAACTAACTACTAACTAACTAACTAACTAACTAACTAACTACTAACTAACTAACTAACTAACTAACTAACTAACTAACTAACTAACTAACTAACTAACTAACTAACTAACTAACTAACTAACTAACTAACTAACTAACTAACTAACTAACTAACTAACTAACTAGTTAGTTAGTTAGTTAGTTAGTTTGAAAGGAGGATGTATATACATCAAATCCGAAGAAATACACCTAGGCCTCTATCGGGCCTGTTGTGCGCTCCTTAACCAGTGCCTCAGGTGGGAATCGAACCCACCACCTCCGGTCTACCAGACTAGAACACTAACCACTAACCTACCGGAGGCCACAACTAACAACTAATAACTAACTAACTAACTAACTAACTAACTAACTAACTACTAACTAACTACTAACTAACTAACTAACTACTAACTAACTAACTAACTAACTACTAACTAACTAACTACTACTAACTAATATACTAACTACTAACTAACTAACTAACTAACTAACTAACCTAACTAACTAACTACTAACTAACTAACTAACTAACTACTAACTAACTAACTAACTAACTAACCTAACTAACTAACTAACTAACTAACTAACTAACTAACTACTAACTAACTAACTAACTAACTAACTAACTAACTAACTATTAACTAACTAACTAACTAACTAACTAACTAACTAATAACTAACTAACTGAACTAAATAACTAACTAACTAACTAACTAACTACATAACTAACTAACTAACTAACTAACTAACTAACGAACTAACTAACTAACTACTAACTACTAACTAACTAACTAACTAACTAATAACTAACTAACTCTAACTAACTAACTAACTAACACTAACAACTAACTAACTAACTACTAGAACTGAACTAACTAACAACTAACTAACTAACTAAGTAACTACTAAGTAACTAACTAACTAACTAACTAACTAACTAACTAACTAACTAACTAACTAACTAACTAACTAACTAACTAACTAACTAACTACTAACTAACTACTAACTAACTAACTAACTAACTAACTACCTAACTAACTAACTAACTAACTACTAACTACTAACTAACTAACTAACTAACTAACTAACTAACTAACTAACTAACTAACTACTACTAAACTAACTAACTAACTAACTAACTAACTAACTAACTAACTAACTAACTAACTAACTAACGTACTAACTAACTAACTAACTAACTAACTAACTAACTACTAACTAACTAACTAACTAACTAACTAACTAACTACTAACTAACTAACTAACTAACTAACTAACTAACTAACTAACTAACTAACTAACTAAGTAACTACTAACTAAATAACTAACTAACTAACTACTAACTAACTAACTAACTAACTAACTAACTACTAACTAACTAACTAACTAACTAACTAACTAACTAACTAACTAACTACTACTAACTAACTAACTAACTAACTAACTAACTAACAACTAACTAACTAACTAACTAACTACTAACTAACTACTAACTAACTAACTAACTAACTAACTAACTAACTAACTAACTAACTAACTAACTAACTAACTACTAACTAACTAACTACTAACTAACTAACTAACTAACTAACTAACTAACTAACTAACTAACTAAACTAACTAACTAACTAACTAACCTAGCTAACTAGCTAACTAACTAAACTAGCTAACTAGCTAACACTAGCTACACTAACTAACTAACTAACTAACTAACTAACTAACTACTACTACTAACTAACTAACTAACTACGAACTAACCAAGAAAACACGTAAAAAATATAATTATTTTTCAAATTTATTAAATTTTGGCACTTTATTGCATTTGACAACCACAATAAATGGTATTATACTTAAAATAGGTTAATACATTTTTTTTGTTGTTTTAATGTCAGCAGATTATAATTAATTGTTATTATATTATTATTTTTTTAACAAATGATTTTAAACTACTTAACTAATATTAATACAATAATTAATTTGATTGTTTTTTAATTTAACTAAAAATTAAATGTTTTTTCTTTTTGTTTAAATTTTAATTAAGTTTAAATAATTTTAATTTAGATTTTATTTTGTATTAAATTAAGAATGGAAGCCATTAACGTTTTATTTAAATGATGTTTTATTTTTAAAATAGTAGTTATTAGTATTAGGATACGGATATTAAAAATCCGAACATATGTATGTCGTTAAAATTCGTTTAAAATGGCTTTGGATTTTTATTTGCTAACATGTCAAATGAAACTAAAGCCAAAAGCAAGGGGTTTTCAGTAATCTATATGGTTTTTATTTGTGTGTGTGGGTGCCCCACGTATCGGAAACTGAGTAAGTTGGTGTTTGCAGCGGGAGGTTTATTAAAAGTATAAAGTATTCAGTTCTCGTTTATAAATTCTTTCAGAAATATTTTCTTTAAAAAAATGCTCATTTTCTATAATCCATATTGCGTACTTTAATAATGGTGGATCCAGAGGGTGGATTTCGTTTTTGCCTAACATATTCTTCGTGTCTTATAATACTAGCGGTATCCTTGTTAATATCCACAGAGCCGCGAGATTCTAATGAATGCTTCTGTTGCAATTGATAATGTGGAGCTGGTCGATATTTATAATCATCTTCTATATACGAACCAGATCTATAAGCTGGCATTACTTTTCGTTCGTCATATTGCTGTTGTTTGGTGATTGAATGACGATTATTGTTGGTATACATTTGCCTTTCGGCATAATGATCAGTATCGTCGTCATTTGTTCCGATTTTTGTTAAATCCTTTTGGCTACGACTTATTAGATTAACAATCGATGGACTTTTGAGGGCACTTTGTTGCAATGTATTTTCCTTGGAACTAGAGTAGAGATGAGGATTTGACTTATACGCCTGGCTAGAGTGTAGATTGTTGTTCGTGTAGTTGTTGCTCGTTAATTTTTCCATATAAATGGGACTAGGATCATTGCTACCGTTCATGGCATGAACACTAAATGATTTACTACGATTGAGTGACTTGGCATAAGTTCTGGCCGGCTTAAGAGGTCCAGTGTTTTGACTAATCGGCTGATAAGATATACGTTGTTCCGAGGGCGCTTGTTGTTGTTGCCGTAATTTACTTTGAACTTTGCTAGTAGCATTCGAACGGGCTATATTAACGGTTTGTGTTTCATAATGATGTACAGATGGATGATCGTTGAGTTTACGCGGCAATGTTTGGGTGGAGCGATATGCCTGATTGAGATTAGGCGTGGAGCCCGACATACGTTGATTGCTCTTCTGATAACGTCCTAGAGTGTGAGAAGAGGTGGAAGATTCTCGGTTGTTGTAGTTTGAGGGCTGCGCTGCAGCTCCATTGCGCATTTTCATAGTCTCATGTACATTCTCCTTACCATACAGGGTACTGGAGTAAGGATCTTCACCCAAATAGTAGCGATGCTTAGGACTCATTACTCTATAGCCATTGTCACGATTATTACCCACTGGATGGGAAGAACTTGAGTGTAGAAGAGTTCTACGATCTACAGTAGCATTGGACTTATTTGGAGCTTCTTGTCCCGGTGGATAATGACTTCTTTGTTGACTATTATATTCTTCTTCAGACTCATCGTGGGAGGTGGTATGATGTTTTCCTCCTATATGGCTATCAATAACATTGTATTGCTGATAAGTGCGTAGTTGTTGTTGTTCTTGATGGGTGGCTGGAGCTGGAGATTGTTCTCGTGACTTGGATTTAGATTTCATGCGTAATTTACGTTCCACACTGGCTGATCTCAATTTGCCAACAAGTTTTCTCAACGAATTGCCTATAGCCTGTCCTACTTTACTGGAGCGATGAGATGCCACGGTAGATGTTGAAATGGTTGAAGGTGTAGTCTGTGTGGTTTGTGTTAACATGCTGGGTCTCAGTGTCTGATGTTGTGATATAACCACAGGTGGTGAAGGTGTATTGCGAGCAAATCTAGTGCGTTGGTTTTGTTTCCTGTTTAAAGTTTGAGCTTCCCTCGGCTGTTGTTCCAGTTGTGCTGAAGGTGTATACATTTGCTGTTGAGAATGGGCATAAGGTTTGGTCCTTAAGCCGTGATGATTGTAATTTTCTCTGGGTGAGGAAGATCGACTTCTGGGTGGTGGTGAATAGTCGGGTGGCGGTTCAGCCACATCGATTGGCACTTGCTGTAGAGGAGTTTTTATTTCTGTTAACACCTCAGTATGTTGACGCAACTTCTTCTCGCCATTTCTTCTACGTTGAGGCACGGTGGGTCTTTCTAAAGTACTCACTTCCCGGTGTGGCGAGGGAGAATCATGTTGCTGTGATTCTCGTCGCAAGGAATTATAGCGAGCATTTTCTATATAGCTGCGTTCATAAGATTTTGATCGCTCTTCTACATAAGAATTCTTACGTGGTGATACAGGTGAATCCACATCATCTATTATTTCAGCTCTAGTATAATTGCGCTTCTCCTTATCTTTAATATTCATGCCATAGTGCAGGTCAGTGCGTGAGCCACTTATATAGCGGCTATCCTCGAAAGAACCCGGTCCAGCCTTATCCAAATCGTCTAAATGATCGCGAGAATTTTGTCTTGATCTCGCTAAAAATTGTGAGGAAAGACTTTGTCTCTTCTGTTGCAAAATATCTTCACGACTAACATAACTATCGCTGGATATGGGTTTTATGTAGGGTTTACTTTCTGCTATATAATTATCCTTTTTAGAATACACAGCACTCGTTTTTTTTCAATTGATTACGTTCTATGGAAGCATGGAGATCATCACGAAATGCTTTGGAAGCAAAATGATTAGCTGGTGTTGTGGGCGTTATAGCCGCTTCATTGCGATTATTCCAATTTGAAATACCTTGATAATATTTTGCGCCATTATTGGACGGAGGGGGATTATCAAGGGGGACACCACGCTTGACATAGGGCTTTTTGTCGTTAGCGTCATAGTGGGCATTGGTAGAAGTGTGATTTTGATTAGATTTGATAGTAACATTAAAGTAAGTTTTCTTAGTTGGTTCAATGACATCTGCTCCATCTTCCTCACGTGAATCATTGGAAGCTGTCGATTCGCTGCCAAAATGTGATTCTAGCCATTTAATAGTTTCACCTTTGCGAGTTTCTTCTTCTTTGTCGAAATCTAAAGGACGTTTGGTTAGAGCATCCTTGCGATCCATTAAAACACCACCTTAAGGGGAATAAAAAAAGTATTATTGTATTATTATTTTTTGGGGATAAATTATTTAATTGCTTTTACCTTTGGGGTGCTGCATTATAGATTTATTGTGGGGTTTGCGCATTTTTCTCATACGATCTGATAAACTATCCCAATCACCTGGACGTTCCAGCATATCATCATTTTCCATGTGCATGGTCTCGGCAGCGTATTTCATTTCAGTGCCTACCACTTTGCCATCTTTAATAATATCCACATGTTGTTCATCACGTTGTTTAAAATATCTCTGATTAGCTTCCTGTTTTTTTTTTAAGAAATTTTTTTGTTAAATTTTATTATTATTCTTTTCTAATTGAAGAATTTACTTACTAAAGTTTTAATCTGTTCTGTACTTTCGACCGACTTATTGTCTGGCAGTTCGTCATCTACTATAACCTCGTGCTCGGTGGTTTTTTTCGATTCAGTTATTATCTTACCATCGTCCTGGGCCAAAGATCTCTTCTGTACATTCTCCGAGTCTATGGTTTTAAAAGACTTCGTTTTATCAGCCACTATACGCGGTCCGCGTGGCACTAATTGTTTTTGATATTCTGGCGATAGTAAGACTTCTTCGACGTTTTCTACACCACTAGTTACAGCTTTTACAAAGGCCTGTGCAAACAAATACAAAAAAAAATGGAATGTTAAAACATGAACACACTCATATGAAATTCTTTTGAAAATCTTTGTGAAAAAAAACTAACTTAATTGGAAGGTGTTGAAAATAAAAATGAAGTATATAATATTACATAAACATAGTTTCGTTATTTTTTCATAAACAATTCATTATTTAAACAAGTAATGGCAATAAAGTACTGCCTGCCACCTTCATATACAAATGTTGGCAATTTTACAGTGATTTTGTTGGCTTTAAAAAGTTAATAAAATAAATAAATGAAATATTCTAAAGTTTAGAGTGAATTAACTGAAATCATAGACCAATTTAAAAAAATTCATTGCTCCAATTGAAGTTAATTTATTATCATTAAAATTGCATCGTCAGCTTAGATTGTTAGGATTACAAGGATGTGCAATGGATAACGATCGATCGTTCCAAAATTGTCTCCCACTTTAAACGGATCTTGCAGTCAGAACATTGTCACTTATAACAGTTAAGTCACTTATGTAACATCCTTATTGTAAAGAGTCCAGCGCAGTCTTATTAAAGTCATCTAAATGAGCGAGTGAATTGTGCCTTGATCTCTCTAGAAATTGTATTAGGAAAGGCTTTGTCTCTTTCACTGAAAGTCATGCAAATCATCTAAATTTTGCTTTGATCGCCCTAGAAATTGTGAGGAAAAACTTTGTCCGCATTCCCCTTTGCAAAGATCTTATAGATGGAATAATAAAAGTTAAAAGATCTTCCTGGAATTTATATATTTTCGATCTCTCGGCTTAAAAGTTCAGCCACTCAATACTTCGATAGTTTTGTTTCTAATTCCGCTTAATTTTGTCTCTGTAAACGCATACAATTTTCTCAAGCTATTCCAAACCTGCCTTATTCAAATCAAGTAAATGATCTTGTAAATTCAGAAGTGATCGGATTAGAACTTAACTCCTCTCATTTTCATAAATGGTGAAAAAGGTATTGTTGATTTATAACATGAATTTTTATACCCACCATCAAAAAAGATGGGGGGTATATTGATTTTGTCATTCCGTTTGTAACACATCGAAATATTGGTCATAGACCCACAAAAGTATATATATTCTGGGTCCTCATTAAATTCTAAGTCGATCTAGCCATGTCTGTCCGTCTGTCCGTCCGTCTGTCTGTCTGTCTGTCTGTTGAAAGCACGATAGAGTCCCAATGGAAAGAGCTAGAGGGTTGAAATTTTACATAAATATTTCTAACAGGTAAGGTTTGTTTGGTATTGAAAATGGGCAATATCGGTCCACATTTTCTGATAGCCCCCATACAAGTGGCCCCTCGAAAAGCAGCTTTAACAGCCATAACTTGTTTAAAAATACGAATATAGCGATAAAATTCGGCATATGGAAGTTTCTTATGATCCAAAATCATTATGCAAAATTTTATGAGGATCGGTTCATAATTGACCCTACCCCCCATATAAGGTCCCCTTCAGAAAATGACTTTAACGCTCATTACTGGCTTAAAAATACTAGTATATAGATGAAATTCGACATAAGTAAGTTTCATACGAGTCAAAATCTATCTAAAAAATTTTATGAGGATAGGTCCATGATTGACTCTACCCCCCATATAAGGTCCCCTTTAGAAAATGACTGCAACGCTCATTAATGGCTTAAAAATACGAGTGTAGCGATGAAATTCGACACAAATAAATTTAATACGAACCAAATTCTGTCTACCAAATTATATTAGGATCGACCCATAATTGACCCTACCCCCTATATAAGGTCCCCTTCAGAAAATTACTTTAACGCTTATAACTGGCCTAAAAAATACGAGTATATAGATGAAGTTCGACATAAGTAAGTTTCATTCTAGTCAAACGAGGTTTGATGGTGGGTATATAAGATTCGGCATTGCCGAATATAACACTCTTACTTGTTTCATGTTATGTTTGTCTAATTAAAGAAAAATAAACCACTGATATCTTTAAGAATAACATGGATAAAGCTTTATATCTTCAGCTGCAGGGACTAATCACGTTAATAGTCCCAAAAATGCTTATCATTGTTTACTAATTCTTCCTAAACACTGTGCATCAGTTTCTTAAACTACAGAGGCTAGTAAGCCGTTTAGTATTGATGTTAGTGTCGGTGGTGTTGGTGCTGTCAAACTGCAATAACAAAAACAACAACTGCCAAACTCCAATCACTTTGCAATGCAAGGGCGTTATCTAGAGCAAAACAACCGAAAACCACAATGCGTTACAATTTTCAAAGAGGCAAAATAAATAATAAACAAACAACAGCAGCAACATCAAACATAAAATAATATAAAAAATTAAAATGCAACTTAAACTATTAACTATCATAAAACTTAATAGTTTGCTAGTTACAAACAGCTACTTGTATTTAAATTTTGTTGTTCGTTTTTTTCTTTCAAACAAAAACAAAGAATTAATTTTTTTTATCTTCATTTCCATCTTCAACTTCTTGCATTATTCAGCAGATCTTTTGAAGAGCCGCTTTGCTTACAAACATAAATTCTACTACTATTCCAGCAGGCTGCTCATATTTCATAGTTTTTGTTTTTATAATTTTACTCAATTCATTTGACACACAATCGATCGAGTCTAAAAATGAACAAAGAAAAAAATAATGCTCTTAATGTCTGACGTATAAGTCCGTATTTTTTCCATAATTCACTATGATGTAAATATGTGAAGTCTGATAAATTCATATTTAATTTTTTTCCAAATGTTGTTTTTGTCTTATATTGTCTATAAATTAAATAAAATAATCAATACAAAACAAAAACAACCAAAATCAATAAGTTTTCAAATGATTCATCTTAAATGACTATAAACGAAATTATAATCTCTTTTCAGAAATCATTTGCAACTCAACAATGGGTTTTTTTTTAACAAAAAATATGTTTTAAAACCACAATGGAGTTTTAGTGTTGATTTTTTTCTGGTCTATGATTTATATTTATTGGAAATTATAAAATATTAGACACGAGCTAAACTGCATATAATATTGATATTAGTATTAGTATATCAATACATCTAGTAGTAACAGTTTTCTATTTTATTAAATATTTCATTACAAAAGACATCATTATCGACATCTGTTTCTGATACAAATCCATACATAAATTACACCACTTTTAAATTTTGAAAAACTTTATTGTATTTGCCTAAAGCTAGAAATTGTTCTATAAGTTTGGAAGAGGTCTTAGAGAATATATAAATACCCTATAACTAAGTCGGTATTTGAACTTTAAACTTAATTAAAAATACACACTGTGCCAATGTTAAGTTTTTGAGATGGCATAGCGGAAAAAACTCGTTTAATCGGTTAGGGACTATAGTCTAGGTCTATATCTAGTCTATAAGTCTAGTCTATAGTCTAGTCTATAGCTGTCATAGTCTAGCATAGTCTAGTCTATATCTAGTCTATAGTCTAGTTCTATTGTCTAGTCTATAGTCTAGTCTATAGTCTAGTCTATAGTCTAGCTATAGTTAGTCATAGTTCTATAGTCTAGTCTATAGTCTAGTCTATAGTCTAGTCTATAGTAGTCTATAGTCTAGTCTATAGTCTCTATAGTCTAGTCTATAGTCTAGTCTATAGTCTAGTCTATAGTCTAGTCTATAGTCTAGTCTATAGTCTAGTCTATAGTCTAGTCTATAGTCTAGTCTATAGTCTAGTCTATAGTCTAGTCTATAGTCTAGTCTATAGTCTAGTCTATAGTCTAGTCTATAGTCTAGTCTATAGTCTAGTCTATAGTAGTCTATAGTCTAGTCTATAGTCTAGTCTATAGTCTAGTCTAGTCTAGTCTATAGTCTAGTCTATAGTCTAGTCTATAGTCTAGTCTATAGTCTAGTCTATAGTCTAGTCTATAGTCTAGTCTATAGTCTAGTCTATAGTCTAGTCTATAGTCTAGTCTATAGTCTAGTCTATAGTCTAGTCTATAGTCTAGTCTATAGTCTAGTCTATAGTCTAGTCTATAGTCTAGTCTATAGTCTAGTCTATAGTCTAGTCTATAGTCTAGTCTATAGTCTAGTCTATAGTCTAGTCTATATAGTCTATAGTCTAGTCTATAGTCTAGTCTATAGTCTAGTCTATAGTCTAGTCTATAGTATGGTCTATAGTCTAGTCTATAGTCTAGTCTATAGTCTAGTCTATAGTCTAGTCTATAGTCTAGTCTATAGTCTAGTCTATAGTCTAGTCTATAGTCTAGTCTATAGTCTAGTCTATAGTCTAGTCTATAGTCTAGTCTATAGTCTAGTCTATAGTCTAGTCTATAGTCTAGTCTATAGTCTAGTCTATAATCTAGTCTATAGTCTAGTCTATAGTCTAGTCTATAGTCTAGTCTATAGTCTAGTATATAGTCTAGTCTATAGTCTAGTCTATAGTCTAGTCTATAGTCTAGTCTATAGTCTAGTCTATAGTCTAGTCTATAGTTTAGTCTATAGTCTAGTCTATAGTTAGTCTATAGTCTAGTCTATAGTCTAGTCTATAGCTAGTCTAGTCTAGTCTATAGTCTAGTCTATAGTCTAGTCTATAGTCTAGTCTATAGTCTAGTCTATAGTCTAGTCTATAGTCTAGTCTATAGTCTAGTCTATATCTAGTCTATAGTCTAGTCTATAGTCTAGTCTATAGTCTAGTCTATAGTCTAGTCTATAGTCTAGTCTATAGTTAGTCTATAGTCTAGTCTATAGTCTAGTCTATAGTCTAGTCTATAGTCTAGTCTATAGTCTAGTCTATAGTCTAGTCTAGTCTAGTCTATAGTCTAGTCTATAGTCTAGTCTATAGTCTAGTCTATAGTCTAGTCTATAGTCTAGTCATAGTCTAGTCTAGTCTAGTCTATAGTCTAGTCTATAGTCTAGTCTATAGTCTAGTCTATAGTCTAGTCTATAGTCTAGTCTATAGTCTAGTCTATAGTCTAGTCTATAGTCTAGTCTATAGTCTAGTCTATAGTCTAGTCTATAGTCTAGTCTATAGTCTAGTCTATA